GAGGTTGAGTAAGGAAGTCGCATAGTCAGAACTGTACTTAAGGAAAATCACTTTTGAAGCAAGGTGAAAAATGGACTGGAGTGGAGTGAGACTAGAGGCAAGGAAAATAATCAGGAAGTTGTTGCAATACACTGGATGAGGGGTGATGAGGGCCTGAATCTTGGGAAAGAGAGAAGGGAGTCAGATACAAGATATATTGCAAAGGTAAAAATCACAAGATAGGCAACTGATTACCGCTGTGTTGGCTGAGGGAGAGTAAGGAGCCCCAAGATTATGAACTAGGGACACTGGAAAGATGGCGGGGGCCTTGATGGAAGTTTGGAAGAGGGAAGGGGTTAGGGGAAAAGGTGATGAGTTCATTTTTTAGACATGGGTCTAAGTCTTAGACTTAGACTCTAAGATGTCCGCAAGACTCTGGTTTGAAATATCCACAGACAATTGATGGTGTTGACATTGAACTCAGGGGAGAGCCTGGGTCTGGGTATATAGGTCCAGGAGTCATCTGCTTAGAAATAATTGTCAAATCATTGGCATCTGAGAAGGCCCTGACTCCAAGTCCAGGCTCTGTGTCCACAGTGCCACCTGGCTGCCAAAATGAAAACAACTCCGCAGCACATACTTGCATAATTTACCATTTATAATAAATAAATGAAGTAATTATAGATTCCCCAAATAAGTGTTTATCAGACAACTTAATATTTTACTGTGACTTTGTAAGAATTGTTTAAATAAACACAGCAGTAAAGCGCAATGTATCTAGTAAAAAGAGCATCATTCCAGGAGTCAGAAGAGCTGGCTTCTCTAAAGATGAAAAGGTTTTCCCTGGCAGTCATGTCAACAAATATTTATAAAGCACCTACCACGTAAAAGTCGCTGTGCTAAACTCTGATAATACAAAGAAAAGCTTTGAAGTTGTCCCCCCACCATGCTGTTCTAAAATAATCTTTTGGATATTGGAGATTATGCCCTAAACCCTAGCTATACTAAGCATTGCTGAGTTTCCAGCTTTGCTTTCTTGTTTTTCCCCTACAGTTCAACATCTAGGAAGTACCTACAGTGTGGAATTCATATTCTACCAGGCAGCCAAAGTAACAACCCCCACTAGCTGAATCTACCAGAATATGAAGGTGTACCTTTCGCCTTTCTTTTTTTAGCAGACTTCGTTTCTGGTGATTGATCTCTATTTTCTGTCACCTATTTCTTCAAAATTTCCTCCAGAAATTCAAGGTACAGGCCTCCTCCCCTGGACAAGCTTCAGCCAGCATTCTCTACCCCATTCACACACCCCTTTCTCCCTCTAACTTCTTTCTTTTCCCCCACCTAGGAACATGCCATGTGTTAAGTCAGGAAAATTAAATTGCCCCAGTGAGAATCTAGAATATGTAACCCAACTTGTTTCTCCCTACCTACCACCCCCAACTCCTTGCCCAGCCCAACCTGAGCCTTCAGCATGGTCTGGGCAAAAAGCAGGAGGCCATCTCCCCTCCATCCTTGACAAAGTAGGTCAGGTTTTTTTCCTCCTAAAAGGAGATTGCAGCTAGAAGAAATTCACAACTAGTAATGCCCACGCATCCTATCCCCCAACTCAGGGGAGCAGGACAGAAGCAGATGTTTGTTTACAGAACTCTGGTGAGCCCATTAGGGATCAGTGAATTCTTTGGCTTTATTATCAGCTGCTATGATTCACTTTTTTTTTTTTACCAGCTCTGGTCTCTATCAGCCTGGAATAATTTGTCTCAAGTTCTTCCTCATTTGGGATGAGCCATAATTTTAGCTCCTATTGTATGATATCTCACAGGCAAAGATATATACTATACCAGACCCTCAGGTTTGAAGCTGATCAAGTTTCCTCTTCCAAATGATCACTTCTTGAAGAGGTCACTCAAATTAAAATTCTCCTGGAGATCTCATATTTTCCATTTAATCACACTTCCCAATTCTTGGTGGCCCAGCTACATGGTCATATAACAAAACAGCTGGCAGAACAGTCCTTCCATCTTTAGAGAAATTCTGAATTATTGGGGGGGGTTAATGGTGATATTTGGTTATAGATGAATGTCTTTACTTCCTTCCTCAAACTAACTGTACAACTGCCTCCTCCCTTTCTCCCTACCTCTCATCAGAGGCTTTACTTCCTACAAAATCAAGAAGATAGAAGCCATCTGACATAATCGTAGTCTTCTCCAGCAGATTGCTTCTCATTCATTCCTTCCCTCTCAAATCTTCAATCTCCCGCCATCAACTGATTCCTTCTATACTACTTTCAAGCATGCCTAAATGTCCCTCATTCTTTAAAAAAAAAAATAAATCTTCAGTAGATCTTACTTCTCAAGCTATCACCCTACATTCTCTCCTCCTTTCTTAACCAAACTCCTTAAAAATTTTCTATACTCACTGTTCCACTTCCCCTCCTCTCACTCCTCATTTCCTTGAACAATCTAGCTTCCAACCACATCATTCAACCAAGTGTTCTTTCTTAAGTGAACAATGATCATTTTAATTGCCATATGTGATGATCTTTTCTTAGTCCTCATCTTCTTTCTCTAACCTGTCTGCTACATTAGACCACTTCTTGCCACCTCTCTCCCCCCTCCCTCCATCCCGATACTCTCTCATCTCTGGGCTTTTGTGACATTAAGCCAAGTTTATTGGCTAAAACCCTCATCCTCTTCCATCTTCCCTCTGTCTGTCAAAACCACCAACATCTTTCTAGTCTCCCAGGTTCCTAATCTCAGCATTATCCTTGACCCTTCAATTCTTCCCTCAGTATATATATCCAATCAGTTGCCAAATCTCATGATTTCTACCTTCACAATATATCTCACATGTAACCCCCTTCTCTTCTCTCCACTCATACAAATATCACCTCTGTCCAGGCCCTCATCATCTCTCACTCCTAATTGGTCTCCCTGCCTTAAGTGTCTCCCTATTCCAATCCATCCTACTACACACTTCAGCCAAAGTACTTCTGATCATGTAACTTCCTAACCAACTTTGGTGGCTCTCTTTCCCTCTAGGATAAAATATCAACTCTTCTATTTGGCTTTGCAAGCTCTATAATAAGATCTGACCCCAACCTGTTTTTCCAGGTTCTTTGAATTTTATTACTTATCTAAATTCTGTGAGATCCAGCCAAACTGGCCTTCTCTGTGATTCTCAAACACTACATTCCATCTATTATCTCTGCATTGGCATTGGCCAACCCTCCTACCTGGAATGCACTGCCTCCTTACCTACAGCTCTTCTAGAATCTCCTTCTTCCTTTAAAATGCAGCTCAAGGGGCAGCTAGGTGGCGCAGTGGATAGAGCACTGGCCCTGGATTCAGGAGGACCTGAGTTCAGACACATAACACTTACTAGCTGTGTGACTCTGGGCAAGTCACTTAACCCCATTGCCTAACCAATAAATAAATGAATGAATGAATGAATGAATGAATAATGAATGAATGAATAGATGAATAATGAATGAATGAATAATGAATGAATGAATGATTGAATGATTGAATAAATAAATAAATAAATAGATAGATAAATAAATAAATGAATGAATGAATGGATAAATAAATAAATAAATGAAGTAAAACAGAATGCAGCTCGAACACCATCTTCTTTATAAAGCCTTTCCTGATACTCCCCCTCAACATCTAGTGCCCTTTCTCCCAAAATAATTTATATTTAACTATTTTGTATATATTTGTGTTTATGGACTTTATAATTATGACATGTATATATATGTATATATATGTACACACATATACTTGTCTTTCACATTTGAATACAAGGTCATTATAGAGATTATTTCATTCTTTGAACTTGTATTCCCATCACCTACCACCATGCTGGCACATAACAGGTGCTTACTTGCTTGACAGTTCTCAAATAGACTTGTAGGTCAGGGAAATGCTATAGATCTAGCATACTCATATTTTAACAAAGCTTTTGCTAATGATACTCATAACATCCTACTTATGAAAAAGAGGTATGGATAGATGATGATATAGTTAGGTGAATTAAGACCCAAAGAGTAGTCATTAATGGCTTGATATCAACTTGGAAGGTCTCTAGTGATGTGCCCCAGAGATCTGTCCTCAATCCCATTTTATCAATGACTTGGGTAAAGGAGTAGGTGGTCATGCTTTTTGTCAGATCTGTAGATGACATGACTGGGATGTATAATAATTAAAGCCCTCAATGAGAGAGTCAGAATCAAAAAGAACTTGACAGTCTGGAACACTTAACTGAATCTAATAAGATGAGATATGATAAGACAAATATAACTAACATCTTGTGTCTGAGTAAAACAATTAATTTTACAAGTAACAAGTTGGAGGAATTTTGACTAGTTCATCTGATAAAGGATCTATATGCTCAAGATGACGCAATGGCATGATAGAACAATCAAAAAGCCATAGGATTTTCAGGGCAAATGCGGGAGGAAATAAGAGCATTGATGCATTTGAAGAGAGAAAGATAGCCCAGAAGTAAGGAAGTGATAGTCTTGGTGGGACCACATCTGGAATGTTCTATCATTTTGGCTCTGGGAACCACATTTTAGGAAGTTCTTTATGAAGCTAGAGGGAGAGTGGAGAAGGTAGTAATCAGGATAGTGAAAGGCCTCAAAAAGCATTCCATGGGAGACTCAGTGGGAGGATCTAGGGATGCTTAGCCTAGAAAGAAGACTTAGGGAGGACTTGATGTGTTTGACGGGACATCAAAGTCAGAGACTGAACCTTTTCTGCTCTGTCCTTTAAGGCAGAAATACCAGAAATGGGGGGGAAAGTTGCAGAGAGATAAATTCTGGTCTAATACAAAGAAAACCATAATTCAAGCAGTCCAGAAGTAGAATGAAGTGCCTTCAGAAGGGGTAGATGTTCCTCATTAGCATCATCAAGCAAAAGCTGGATGACCACCTGTCAGACATGGTTTAGAAGGGATTTGGTGAGGTATGAGTTAGGCTGGGGGATGGAAGCGCCAAGGTCAAAAGCCTGCTGAGGACTTACAGAAGCACGAAGGGCGATGGTACCATCCCAGCTGCCAGGCTCTTCACACTGTTGGAGAAACTGGGTTACTGTTCACAGCTGCATCCAGATCTAGTGCCGGCATTAGCTAGGTGACCTCTGGCAAGTTCTGTAACCTCTCTGGGCTCAGTTTCTTCATCTGTAAAGTGAGAAAATGGGCAAGATGATCATCACACTAAGAACTAGATCTTAAAAGTATGATTACTGCCTAGACAGTTGGCACCCAATTTTTTTGAGATACCTCTGAATAAAGTTGAGTACCAGTGGTGGGGGGGGAATGTTAAAAAAATGCTCAAATACTTTATTGTATTATAATCTTATTTGACTATCTTCTTTCTCCTATTTTTTTTTACTTCGCATCACCTTCTCAACTTTCTACAAGTGCTCATCTATCTACCCACATACATCTATTCTCATAGAAGGTAGGTGATATAGGGCATAAAGCACAAGACCTGGAATCAGGAAGACCTGAGTTCAAATCCTGCCTCGGATGTTTACTAGCTGAGTGACCCTGGGCAAATCACTTCATCCCCCTCTCAGCCTCAGTTTCTTCATCTGTAAAATAAGGATAATAAGATAATGATGACTTCAAAGAGTTTTTGTAGGAATCAAATGAGATAGGTGATACTGGAGTATATTGAGTTGGAGGGGGGGGAGAGGGGGAGAGACACGGTCAGACCTGTGCTTTGAGAAGATTTTACTTTGACAGCTAAGTGGAGAATAAACTGCATTTCAGCCTCAGGTTTTCCGATTTCTGAATCTGGCATGATTTCTACTATATCACCAGACTGTCATATCACTCAAAGACATGGGGAAACTGAGTAGGGACTCAGTGAGTTGCTAAGTGAGTTGCCCAAGAACATATGGGTAGTAAGTGGTAGGGTGGGAATCAGATCATATATCCAAAGATGCCTGATAAACCATAAAGTGCTATATAAATGTCAGCTATTAATAAATATCTGTCATTACTCTCCTCATTACCATCTCCATCACCACCATCATCCATGCTCAGCAGCCTGTAACCCACACACACAAAGCAAAGAAAAAGCCTGAGGACAATAGTGAGACAGTGTGACTGGTTCGCTCTTGAATTCTTTCCCTGTAAACCATCCACTTCTAATTCAACCCGACACGGCTAATTTCGGCATTAGAGTTTGGAGTGAAAATCAATATCCATTTTGAGCTCTGAGAGAGAAAGAGTTGCTGCACCATGGGTCGAGTGGGGCACTGCACTCACTCTCAGCGATCTGAAAAGGATGGCAATAGAAATTCTTCAGTCGCTCTGCTTTAAGAAGTTGAATGATTATTCAGATTAAATTTTTATCGTCTTGAGGAAATCTGAAGAATCAGGATGAGTACCCTTCCAACCCTCTGTAAAAGGCAGTTGTATGTAAAAGACTTAGTGGTAAAGTGCTGTGGCTAGAGTTGGGAAGACCAGAGTTCAAATCTGGTCTCAGACACTTGTTAGAGTGTGTCACCCTGGGCAAGTCACTTTAACTTGTGTTTGCCTCAGTTTCATCATCTGTACAAACAAAGCCGTTGTGAGGATTAAATGAGATAATATTTATAAAGGGTTGAGTACAGTGTCTGGTACATGGTAGCTACTATATAAATTATTATTCCCTTCCCTTTTAAAAAAAATCTTCCCAATTTCTGGCCATACTGCTTTTGTTGGGTTTTGTTGTTGTTGGGTTTTTCTTTCTGAAAAGAGTTCTTGAATAAGTTTTTCACATGAGGTTTAGAGATTTTGACTGGTCTGTGCTGGTGGTCTGCAATGCCTTTAATTAATGCAGGGAGAGAAGGGTAAGTGATCTGGGCTTGAGCACTGATTTCTCTTATCAAGTCAGACTAATGCTCTTCATGAAAAATTTTACTAGGGGAATTTGTTTACCTAGCATGTATTTTTTTTAAGTTCATGTTTGCTCATACACTGGAAAGACTGCTGACTCTGAAGTCCACGGACCTGGGTTCAAATTTGGCCTCACACTTTTATCTCTGTACCCTTGGGGCTCTGTTTTCCGTCCTCGGAAAATGAAGAGAAGGCACCATATGGCCGCTACAATCTATTCCAACTCTACGTAGATGATCCTATCAGCCTTTAAAATAAAAGCTTCTCAAAGAAATTGTATCACTCCCTACACTAAAAAGAATTGCTTTTTTCACCTAATTAATTTATACTCATCAAACCTTTGCTTAAATTAGGTATTTAAAACCAGCATCAGTACAATGAACACAAAAAGCTCCTACTATGTGCAAAGTACTGGGCTTGTAATGGCGAAAAACAATATAGTCTCTGCCCTGATGTCCTTCTATAAATCCCTCCACAAGATGTCAACTCAACCTACTGGGTACCTCCCTTTAGTTTTTGGCTGACAGTAGAGTCCATGGTCCCTCCATCAGTTCTCACTATATGACCAACTCACTTTCTTTTCTAATCATCATACATTCTTCTGATGATACCCTTTCATGCCATTTTTCTCCATACAGTGGTACACTTCATATACTACCATATACCAAGATATACTTGATGCCACCATAAGAAATGCCTTTGATAAGTACCAATAATTCTTCTGCTAAAAGCTTCTCGGCATGTCCTTCTTTGTAGACTCCTTTGCCAGGCATCACCCCACCTTTCTAAGCTTCACTTCACATTACTCCCATTCCCAAGCTCCAGCTAAACTGGACTCCTGACTTTCCCCATCCCCCAAACAGGCCTTCCATGCCTTTGCTCATGTTTTTCCATCTGTCTAGATTTTAGACTCTAGAGGTCCTGTGCGTGTGTGTATGCATGCACACCTATGAACCCCTTTCTCAGAATATTTTTAAATGCATGAAACAAAATACATAATAATATAAACGGAAACAACTGCTATTGAAATAATTACCAAATTCATTTTTTAAACCAAGTTCACAGTCCTCAGGCCAAGAAGCCCTGCATCTAGAATATCATTCCTCTTATCCATCTTTTAAAGTAAAGGCTACTGCAGTAGTAGTAAAGTAAAGGAACTGCAGTGTTCTCCCCTCCATAAAGCTTTCTCTGAGGTCCCCTCAGTCAGTAACAAACTCTCTCCCCTCATAGTTCACAAATCATTTTGCTGTGTACCCCTCTAATCAGGCATGTGCTGAAGCCAGTTCTTGCAAAGAGTAGATGGTTAAATCTTCAGTTACATCTGCATTTACACTTCAGAAACCAGCCAACGCTACAAATCAAGGCTTAATTTACTATTTTGTTGATTTCTGTGCTTAAGAAAATGATGGAGAAAATCCTAACAATACAGACTAAACTTAAAAGTGTGTCATTAGTATGTTTCTGGATAGCTGGTTTATTTCCCAGCACACCCTTACCTCCAAATTACTTATCCCAGTTTGTTTATAGTTATGTGAATTGGATGTCACCTCGATAAACTGTGAGGCCCACAGGGCAGAAATGTGCCTTCTTCCCAAATCCCTACCACACTATTCATTCTCTCACAAAGTAGCCATTTAATAAATATTGGCCAAATTCAATTGTGTACACATACATATGCTCATTTCTGTTTTAAAAATGAAGATGGTGTGTTGCACAGCAAAGCTTAGATGGGGCTGTCCTGACCAATAAAACAAGTCAATTAAGGCCATAACTAACAATTCTCTTAAAAATACTTTATGGCTGTTAATGAGATGTGACCTAGAGTGGACTCAAGGATAAGGATGAGGAGGGGATAGATTACAACTATATCAATAGTCCTTGATGACTAATTGGATATGTGGGACAGTCTTCTAATTTGAGACAATTGAGGATGGACATGTTCCAGTCTGTTCCCATTGGTTTAAGACTTAGGGAGGTTTTGGCTAAAGAGTATAAGAGGCCAGACCAATAATGCTTAAAGCAATAGGTTTTTATCACTGCACATTTTAACTCACCCAAGGGAAGGAATTTTTTTAAAGGGGGAAAGGATGCAAAACTCAGGGTGAAGGACATGGGGGAACTGAGATCCTAGAATCATAGATTTAGAGTTGGAAGGGCCAATGAAAACTCTCTCCTCTCTCTCCAAGTAAATAAAACTGGTTGCAAGGTAGTACATGATTCTGAAAGTACACTGCTCTCAGCACTAAAGGAATCAACTCACCTGGCCAGGGCTAGAGACCAGCTTCTCTCTTCACCCCTAAGCCAGGTCCCACTAGCTTTAGCACTGAGGCCCCCTCTCTCTTCACTTGCCAGAGGAACCCCGTGAGACAGAACTGCAGTTGGATCTATTCCTGGCTCCAATCTCATCATCCTATCACCAGCTCCCTGCTGCCCTCAGTTCACCACGCATGTTCCCCCTTCATGGAAAACAAGTGCTATCTCTGGTCATTTAAATTTCCCTCCAGGGAACAAAATTCCTTCCCCTAGCTTGGTTGTAACACAAAAACCCAGGAGGGAGAAAGGGGAGTTAGATAATTCCATAAAAATGTACCCTCTAGAGATCTTGAAATCCTCATGTTCCAGCAGGCTCTCATCACTCCTCCTAGGCAGTCAATGGAACAACAGTTAGGTCCTTTCTCACCCTCACACTAGGGCAACTTGTCAAGAGAAGTGAGGATCTTGGGTTTAATAGGGAAGAGATAGTTTTGTTTGTTTGTTTGTTTTACTCAGTCACATCTGATTGGTTTCCCATTTCTGATGTCACAGGCAGGGAGCCAACCATTAAAGATGGACTGCCAAGACAAGAGCCAGGCTGTATATATGGCAAGGAGGATGGAAGTTTCTTGAAAGGGGAAAGGGCAGAAATAATAGCTAGTAAAAGGAGTAGGTCAAGAAAAAAAGAGTCAGCTTTTCACAAGCACTCAGAGGTCACCAAATCCAGAGAATTCTTTGGGCTCTCACAAGATTAAAAAAATTCTAAGTAAGCTTTCTATACCAAGAGATGACCTGTCTGACTTTAAGTCAAAGGTCTGGAGAAAATCTTTCCAGGTAACCTTATACCTACACAATTCCAGAAAGGTTCAGCCTTTCATTATAAATCATTCGAAGATATCTGTAACGTATTACAGCTATAATCCCTTTCAGGAAGAAGTTCTTAGTATCCAGTTTAAATCCCTCCTGCCACCTGTTAAGCCTAATGCTTTTAATTTTATCTTCAGTGAAAATGAAGAACACATCAGCATTGTCACCTCTGTAGTCTCCCCTTATATAATTTTTTTCAGCGAATTTTAAAGCTGGAAGGGACGTTAGAAGTCATTCAGTTCAAGCTTAGCCTTCTTTAGTCTAAAAGTCCCAATATTCCATTAAGCATATTCTCTGTTCATCTTAAACTATAATAAATGTTTTGACCATATGAGTAGTTTTTCCCCCACATGGGCAGTCTTTTCAATGTGGACAACCTTTTTTTTTTTTCTCGTATGGTAGTTTCTCCCAACCCGATGTGGGTAGTCTTAAGCATTTGGGATGGAGAGAAGTACTATATTTTGCCCTTGGATGTCGGCCTCCAATAATGTCACCATCAGTTTCTCCATTTTGATTGACACCCCCGAATCACTGGAGTAGCCTAACTGGAAAAGGGGGGATTGTTGATCAAGAGTAAATTATGCAGCAAATAATAACACAGAAGAAATATTGCTACTTGGGCTCAAAAAATATTTCAGCCTGACCCGAGCAGAGGTCAGTCTGCAAAGGTGGATATTTTTTTCTTTCATGAAATGTTTAAGTCGTATTTAGAAAGGATCCAGCCGAACCATAATAACCTTCTTCACGGAAAGGTTGAGATATATCAAAGGAATATTGCAATGAACTTATTTTTTTTAAATGTGGAGAAAGGTGGTTGGCTGAATGTGGATTTGTATGAAGATCTGAACAAGGTCAAATAAATCTCAAGCTTCACACACTTTATTTAATGTTTCTTTTCCTAAAAAATGCTGTATTCCAAATGTGAAATCTTATTATCTTTCCACCAAAGCCTTCTCCTCCTTCTGACTTCAATATGACTCTGACAGTGGCACCATCATTCCCCCAGTCTCCCATGTTTGAAACCACAGGTTTATCTTTCACTCATCCTGAGTAGAATCAGAAAGAGGTTTGGATCAAAGCATCCGGGTTCAAATCCTGACTTTGCTATTTATTCTGGTGGGATCATAGGGAAGTCACTTAACCCATCTGAGCCTTGGTTTCCTCATCTGACTCAATGCCATCTCTTAGTTTCCTCCCATGTCTAAATCCTATTTTCCCATTCCTCTCATATCCAGTCAGTTTCAATCTTACCTCCAAAATATCTCTGTCATCCTACCTGTACTGTTTATGTCCTTATCACCATCCACCTAGACCAGTGGTCACCAATTCAAATAGAAAGGAGAAAAAAGGGGGCAGTGCTGGGAGAACACTAAACCACACTTAAGAATCCCTGTGGGCCCCACATACTGACGGTTTTAAAATACAATATTATCTTTGCTTCATTATGTTTTTATTTATTTGGTTAAATATTTTCCAATTGCATTTTAATCTGGTTTGAGCCACTCTGGGGAGTGTTATGGGCCCTATGTGACCCACAGGCTTTGTATCTGAAACCTCTGTGACCTAGACTACTTCGATGCCCTCCAAATACATCTTTTTGCCTCTTGTCATCCTACTTAATGCTCATAGCAGAGTAGTCTTCCTTATGCATAGACCTAACTTTGTTAACCCTCCTCTCAAAACTCTGCAGCAGCCCAGTTCATATCCCTATTATTTTTTTCAAGGATTTCTGCAATCCAGTGCCATCTTGTATTTCCAATCTTATCCCACATGATTCATCCATATATGTCCCATATTTTCCAGTCTCCATAACTTTGTATATGTCATTCTGTATGCCTGAAATACCCACCCCTCCTCCAAATGAATTTCTAACCTATCCGTTAAGCCCCAACTTATCTGCCACCTCTTCTTCTGATCTACCCAATCTGTAATGACCGCCCCCACCCCCATGCCTTAGACATCACAAAGCACCTTGCTGACATCTGACTCTGCATTTGGATAAAAATTTGAATATCAAATTCCTTAGCCTAACTAAAGCGTTTTCAAGTTATCTGTGTCTGGGCCGTAATCTTCCCTTGGAGTGTGAGGTCCATGGGGTCAGGGACCATGTGTTTTCTCAACTTTGAGTCTCCCCCACTACCCAACACCATACTGTGCACATGACTGGCACTTAATTAGTGATTTTCAGATTAAAGTGGTTGAGATTCTCAGTGAAAGATGAAGCTGAGAATTGGGGGGAGGCAAGAACAGGCCATGGTGTCATTTCAGCTGTAGACTCATAAGACGATAGACTGATCAGCCAAATAAAGAAAACTGTATGTAATACTTACCATGTACAAAGCATAAAGATAGAGGTGAACTAGAGTCATGGAAGATTATGTTTGAATCCCAACTCTACCTCTGCCCCAGCAGCCTTGGGCATTTGGGCATCAAGATTAAGTCATCCAGTCTCTCTGAGTCTCAGTTTCCTCCCCTACAAAATGGTGATGCTAATACTTCCATTACCTGGACTGGGGGACAGTGTTTTAAAGTACTTGGAAGGCCTCAGTTTGAGTCCTGTTTCCAGCACCCACTAACTGTGTGACCCTGGGCAGATCACCTAACCTCTCTGACATCTATCTATAAAACAGATGTGATAGCACCTATCTCAGGGGTTTTTGTGAGGTTCAAATAAGACAACATATGCAAAGAGTTTTGTGAATCTTAAATGCTAGCTATTATAATTATTATCATTAGATAACATATTGTGCATATTTTAGGATACAGAAATAAGATTTCATTTAATAACATCAAAATGGAAAATCAGATTTCAAAATATCTGTCCATTTAGCAGGGAGAATAAGTTAACACCTAAGTCTGGAATTTCTACTTCACATTATATCTGTAATTTTCACATTTAGTTCTACATTAAATCCAGGTATGGTTTTTTTTAAGAGCTAGCAACTCTATTCACTATTTTAAAAACTAAATATTATATTAACCTCCCAAGCACATGAAGTTCAGATTAAAGTAGCCAAATAGGGACAATAATATTTGCATTACCTACATTACAGGGTTGTTGTGAGGAAATTGCTTTGTAAACTCTAAAACCTTACATGAGTGAGTTTTTTTATTATTAAAAACTATAGAATAATTCATGTTTCCCTTGCTGAATTTCATTCGTTCATTCATTTGCAACTATTGACTGAACATCTACTATAGGCATGGTATAGCGCCAGGCTCAGTGGGGACCATGAAGATGGATCTAAAGCATGATCCCTGAAGGAGTTTATGATTCAGCAGGAAAGATAAGATGTATAGAAAAAAAAACTTTATTATAAAAAATCATCATGATAACAGTTAACATTTATATGGTACTTTATGGTTCGCAAATACTGTTACTTCTATGGGTTTTTTTGAGAACCTAAGGTAACTGATGTGAGCATATGAGGTACTACAAAAGATCACTGGAAGGAGAGACCTTCCAACTGGAATGGTAAAAGACTTTATAAAAGAATTCTGAAATGATAAGGATGTGTTGTTGTTTTTCAGTCATTTTAGTCCTGTTTAATTCTTTGTGACCCCATTTGGGGTTTTCTTGGCAAAGATACTGGAGTGGTTTTGCCATTTCTTTTTCCAGCTCATTTTACAGATGAGGAAACTGAGGTAAACAGGGTTAAGTGACTTACCCAGGGTCACACAGCTAGGAAGTGTCTGAGGTCAAGTTTGAACTCAGGAAGATGAGTCTTCCTGACTTCAGGCCTCTCCACTGCATTACCTAGCTGCCATAAAGATGTGTGAATTTCCCAAAGATGGAGATTGAGAGATAGATTCTAACTGGATTCTCATATAGCTGTAATAGCATGGGCTATTCAGTAAAGATGGCAAGGGGGCAAACTGTGTTTGGAGAGTGACCAATAAACCAAGCTGAATGCAATGGAGGATTGATGGTGTCAGTGAGTAACAGGAGGTGTGATCAGGGCCAGATTGGTGGAGAGCCTAGAAATCCAGGCTACAGAGTGTGTTCTTTGTTCCATAGACAATGCGGAATCATTGGAGGTTTTAACAAAAGGACAGACAAACATGATCAAAGCAATAGTTTGGGAAGATTACTCTGGCAGTAAATAGTATGAAGAATAGAGGAGAAAAGAGAGGAACTGTAAACAAAGACATCAGTGAAGAGGCTATTTATTGCAATAGTGAAAGTGGTTGGTAAAGGCCTGACTAAGAGGGGCGGCAGTGAGCGTGGGTGATCAGAACCTACATACCAAGAGAATTACTTTCTTTAATTAAAGTTCAGCATTTTTTTCCTGTGCAAATGCAATCCTTGCTTTAAACAAATAACACTACAGGAATGGGGGCATTATCCTGTTTTATACATAAAGAACCAGCTATCCAGGTAACAATCCAAGAATTCTGATTAACTGCTCTTTCTTACCCCTTCAAAGAGACCTCAGTGAATGTCTCCCTCTTTAATAATGCTCTCTATGTAAAGCCACTGCGCTCATTTTCCTTCCTGCGAGTTCTGAGACCTTTACTAGGCCTAGTTTATATTTTATAGTTCAGTAAAGGTGGCCTCAGAGAGCCATCATTGATATGCATAAAGCACT